TTAATACATTAATTTTTTTCGAAGAGTAATAATTTTTGACAGAGAGAGAGAGAGAGAGAGAGAGAATTAAAGTTGCAATTATAAAAACTAATCTCGTTAAGATTGTTTAATGGAGAAAACTGACTTAGTATTAGGGCCGGTTTTATCGACTGGATTAAGCCGAATCGTTGATTAACTGTCAATCATAAATAGTCAATTCTACTAAACAGCAAACACAATTAGTCAGTTCCACGGCCAATTGGCGTTGGTGAAGCAGGCCCAAATAATTCTTCACAAAAAGCATGCATGCTTAGCGCTTTTTTATCTTTTTTGTTAAAAAGGTAAGTTTATATAAATAACAAAAACAGTACCATTTGTGTTTTACTTTTTAATTTGATAGGACTTAACTTGATTAGTTAAGATTGTAACATCTGGGTTTTAATTTTTTATTTGATACATTAATTTTTTTTGAAGAGTAATAATTTTTGACAGAGTGAGAGAGAGAGAGAGAGAGAGAGAGAGAGAGAAAGAGAATTAAAGTTGCCATTATAAAAACTAATCTCGTTAAGCTCGTTTAAATTTAGAAAATTGTCTCCTACAAGTGCATGATTAATCAACATGCTCAGGCGTATTCGAATTCCCACCTGTTCTCTGGGTGTTATGTCATTCTTGTTTAACATTCAGTAAATAACAAGAATGAAATGGTACCAGGGCCTATATTCTGTAACTGTTTTACACATTTACCGACAGTTGTCGGTGTTATTGCGCACAATACATACTCCTTCTTATAAAACTTCTGAACATTTTCTCCTTATGAAAAGCGTATCCCTTTCGTGGCGGAGCCACATACTTATTTATTGAATTGTAATATTGCAACAATATATTGCAATTTTCTACAAAATCAAAATAACAATATTTTGCAATATTGTAGCAATATTTCCAATAAAATATTATAATTTCTATAGTGCAGTAGTATCGTTGCAATTTTTGTAATATTGTGCATTATTGAAATTTTGCTGCAATATTACTCATATAGCACCGCAAATTTTCAGAAATATTTTAGAAATATTTCGACTAAAAAGTGAAACATTTCATAAAAGTTACGAAATATATCTGCAATGTTTTTAAGACGATTCTGGAATAGCAAAATGTCCGCGATTCTTGCACATGAAACCTTGTTGAAAGGTTACAAAACGTTACAAAAAGTATTGCAATATTGCTGCTATATTTCGTGCTGAAAGGGTAAGTACGTGGCCCAGTCACAAGAGAGACATTCTATTCGAAAACATCTAGCACTCCTATAACAAGGAATACGCAAATCGAGTTGGCATGTCTCCCGAAGATACCCAACCTTTTTGCAAGTGCTTCCCAGGCTCCTGAATATTTTTTATCATGACTTTATCATTTTTTAGAATGCAATATTGAGCAATAATACTTTAGCAATTAATAAAACTGGATTAATTATAATAATATATCATAATGTTGCAGCAATATTACAGAAATATCGCAGAAACAAACTGTGATAAATTTTTTGCGTTTATTATTGTAGCGATATTTGTACTATGTAATATTACTGTAATATTAATACAGTGTATAGAAATACTATCGCAATATTGCAAAATATTAGCATAATATGTAGAAATATTGCCTAATGTTACAGAAATATTATAAAATATCGCAGAAATATTTCTATGATAAATTTGATGCGGACATTTAATATTGCAGCGGTATTTATACAATATTACTGACATATTACTGTGCAATATTACAGCAAATTTGTAATATCACTGCAAGATTATTACTATATTACACGCTGTGTGAATAGAAACAAACGCTAACTGATAACATATTAGGAAAAAAGCAAACAATTTTTTACACTTCAATCATACGTTATCAATTTTAAAACCGCGGGAAATTGGCCATGCTTACGTTTTCTTCATGCAGTGATGCGCTATCATGGAAATTATTCCCACACGGAAATGTTTATGCGTAAGCTGACAACACAGTTTCAACTACTTTCACATTGTATCGTCAATACAATGACAACGCATGCACACGAACATTTCCGTGCAAGAGTAATTCCCACGACAGTGCACTATTAACTTTATGTTTATCTAATAAATTACAAATTAATGACGGTTTCAAGCGGTAACAAATAAAAACTATTTTTGTGTTATCATCTCTTGGACTAAGATTTTCAATACATTAAGTGTCTTATTCTTTGAAAATGAGCAACAAATTATTAAATTACTTGTTAATTTAATTTGTGATATTATTATACATAACATAGTTCGATTACGTTTATAACAATAAATCCGAGAAACCAATTCGGCGGGCAATTCAAAAAACTACAAACATGGTATGGATTCAAACATGATTATTTAAAGCACTTATGATCCAGTTTCGACTGGCGTAGGTTTCGCTTCTTGCTTAATGAAAATAATGTTGCCCCTCAGGTCTATTCTGTAACTCTTAAAGCAACTTTTGTTGTCATTATGATGCTGTTACGCAGCTTTTCCATGATAAAATCTAACTAGAAATTTATTCAGTAATTTTAGCAGATCCTACTATTGACCTGATTTCATTATCAGGTTCTGGTAAGTTAAATTCCCGATATTGGGACTCAGATCAGTTATATTGTAACGCAGCATAGTAGTCAGATCTTCATTCGGATCTAGCCTCATCAGATCTATATCAGATTCATTATAAAAATCCTTATTTGGACCGTTTCAATGGAATTAATTAGAATATTAAGAATGTGTGGCGGCATTAACAAGGATTTAATTATGAATCCGATATAAACCTGATGAAACTATCTGGATGAGAATCTGAATCACTATTGTGTTACATGACTGATTGGCTCTCGATTAACTTACCGTATTAGGATCTCCTAAAATCACTGGACAAATTTCTAGTTGGGTTGTTCAAATGCTGTTAATTTAGCATCACATTCCAAAAGAAGCCAAAAAACATCAGAAACCCACTCTGAAGGAACTTTATAATTTCCAGAAGATTCTTCGAATCGATTTGTATAGCCGGTCACAGAAAGGTTGCAGCACCTTTTTTTCGGATCTATAAATAAGAACCAATCTCTCAATGAGCAAGTATTCCAAAACCCATCGAAAAAAAAGTTTGCAACCTTTTTGTGACTAGCTATATGCCTCCTTATAAAACTTATAGTTTTCTTCTTACGAATAGCACGTCCACTTCATGGCGTGGCTGCGTACTAGAAATAAGTGAGCATGTCGCGAGTAACTCACATATAATTTTTTTAATTATTTTAACTCTAGAAAGGACAACCATACTCAAACCTGACAAAGATTTGTACCTTATTCAGAATTATCTTAGGCCAACCAAATCAGGTTCTTATAGCATATAAAGTGTTTAGTTACGAACTAAGCGCATTTTCATGTATAACGTTACTAGTAGATGGCGCGTTGCATTTCTAGTTCTATATCTAAATTGGTAACAGTACGGCATGATCACAGACTTCTATATATACTACTAGACTGCTAACTCCTTAGAACAAGCTTGTGAAATGGATCCCGAAATTATATAGTAGTAGTATTCTGCGCTGCATCACGAATATACCCAAAGGAATGCAGTATGGCTGTTTTGTATCAACTGTTCATATGCTAAATGTATAACCTTATGAAAGTCGTGTGATCTCATAGCGAAAAATTTAATTTCTTTTGGAAGAGAAAGAGTTCAACGGTTAATACTATTAAATAGGTTTATCTGTCAAAATAGCGTGCTGATGTGTGCGCATGTGCAGATATACATCACGTGGTCACGCGGAGCGATTCTCGACGCATGCGTATAATGTTACATCAAAATTGAGGGCCACTTTCAAACAAGTTAGCAGTCTAGTAATATATATATAGAACCTTGTGGGCATAATCGGTGTGCCTTTAGATACAAATGTAAGCAACGGAAGAGGCGAGTCAGCATGAGTTTGTACGGCATAAAGAAAATACACGCACAGTAACAGTTTAAAACTGAGTTCTAATTATTTCTGGAGTGTACTTTATTTGCGACATCTACAATCCCACGAACGGCCAAACATAAGGTAATTTTAATTCTATAAAGATCAATCATACTCAAATCTGTGTGTGTGTGTGTGTGCGTGCGTGCGTGCGTGCGTGCGTGCGTGCGTGCGTGCGTGCGTGCGTGCGTGCGTGCGTGCGTGTGTGTGTGTGTGTGTGTGTGTGTGTGTGTGTGTGTGACGAGAATCTTCTTAAGTATACCTTATTCAGGATTACCTTACGTCAACTAAACTAAGTCCTTATAACATTAAAGTAAATCTGACAGCAAATTCTAATCGGGAAAAATTGCGTAGCGGCGTTATAATGATAATGAAATTTGCATTAAGAATTACAGAATATGTCTGCTGATCATAATAAGATTCATCTTTAATTTTAAAGAAAAAATGTAAAAACCAAAATTCGAAAAAATTAAAAATCAAGAAATGAGAAAGCAAAGTAAGAAACAAAAGGAATCTAAAAATAAAATAACGCGTGCAATTCCATGCGATGCATTCTGATAATACTACTGTTGACATTACTATAATTTTCAAAACTTAACAAAACTTCTTTTGACTCTCTTTTTCAAAAATCTTAAAGTCTGAACTTTTTAATGGAAAGGATTTAAAAGGATAAACATTTTCACACATCGAACGTTCTTTTATTTCTAAATAACGAAAAATAATTTTTTTGAAAATTGACCTTTTTCGAACTTTGCCTCAAATAACATTTTAATTAATGTAATTTTCGGTTTGCGCAAAAAATTTTCTTTCTTTTATGCCTTTTTAAACGGTATATTATAATATGGGGTATTCCATTTGAAATTTTTATGTTAGATTCCTCCGTGGCACTCCTTGGGGGGAAGACAACCCCAACCTCTTTAATAGAATAGCCTCTCAAAATAATCGAACATGTATTACGCGGTTTTTTTTAATAATTTTGAACCGTTTCAGAAATATAGAGAGTGGGGACAGACTTTATATAGGCGCCCTGTATTACCTGAGATAATTGCTGGGTATTTTCAGCTTCTTGACACACGAAAGTCACAAAGTCCGAAAGAGTGTCATGTCCGTTCTCAGGATACTTTACTACCCCTGTAGATCCAGTGTGTTCCGGCTGATAGTAAGCGAGTCCAGGCATACTTTGACCGGAACCACCAGTTAATCCTTCGTGAGGCGAATGCAATCCTGAAACATATTTTCCAATAATCATCTAGTCTGATTAATGATATCAATGTCACGTTAAACCACCCCCTTAACTTAACTCTTGTTCTTTCCTTACCTTCGCGAAAATAAGATTATTTTACTTAACTTTTCACTTAACTTCTTTCTCTCTTCTTTGTCTCTTTGTCAAAATTAGATGAAATATTTACATTACCGCAATTTAATTATATCTTATCTTAAAATAACGTATAATATTCGATTACTTTTCCAATATAAGTAAAATGATATTTTTTTTTAATTAGGAGCCATTAATCTTTATCTAATCTTAATCTAATCTTTATCTATCGTCAAAACACAAAATTATTTTGTTTATAAATTATTCAAATTTATTTGACGCAAATTTATTTTATTTGGAATATTATCACGTTTATTATTTTAAAAATATTATTTTCATTGATGTTAATATGTAATTAAGCAATTAGTAATAATGTTTGCTGTACAAATTATTTGTGTTCAAATAATTGATTATACTTAATGCAAGTATATTAACCTTTTTATCTTGATAAACTGCAAACAATTATCATATCAATTCACGAAATTGACATAAATAGCATATACATACATAGAAACAGAAAAAAATCGTAGATATCATTGAGCTAATAAAAGTAAAATAATAAATTAAATCTTTCCCCATTTTTTTCTTTAAATGGCTCTATCATTCCCAATTTCTTTATCTAATCATAGCCCAATTTAATTAATACATACTTAAATATATAAATAGGTAGATACATAGATAGTTAAATAAGGATAAAAAAGTCGTTGTTACAATGAGTTTGTTAAGAGGGTGGTTTTAATGACGCATACAGATCAAATTCTGATGCTTGTCATTAATAAAAATTTTATTCCGAAACTGTCGCAACTTCTTTCAATCACAAATTTTTCGAATAACTTTTATGGAAAAATTTTACGAAGAGTATTTATTAATGCTATTTTTAACTCTAAACATTTAGAATATTTTGAATTAAATTAGAGGAAATTTATACAATTCTCACATTGATCAACTTAATTAAATATATTAAATTTTCTTTAGATCTTAGAAATTCAGAGATTTAGTTGAAGAATTTATAAATGAAAGAAAGTACGATAATTTCTTGGAATA